CCGTCTGCTGGGCAAGGTGGGAGTTTGCTTCATCGGCCTTTCTTGTTAAAGCAACTATGGCCTCAGCATTGTCTTGAACTACCACTTGCATGGAGGAGAGGTGATTCTGGACCTCATGAACTTCAGCCCTGATGGCTGAGAGGTCAGCAGCTACTTTGTCTCGTTGAGGCATTCCCTTATGGACTTCGTCCATTTTGTTAAGGACAGTCTCAACTGCTGGGAGGATCTGCTTCACGTCTTTAGCCATGTCATAGGAATCTTCCTTGGCTGGTTCAGCAAAAGGACCTTTAAAAGACGAAAAGTGAGCATAAGAGAGCTCGGGGTTAGATGAAACGAAAGGATAGGAAGATGGAATACATGAGGGGTCATCAACGTTATTAGAAGGATTGGTGCACTCCATGATGCACTCGAAAGGATGAACACCAGTTTGCTGAGGAGCCTCGAGAGGAGCTACCTAAGGTCCAGTGGTGAGTGTCTCATCATCAGGGAGGACATTCACTAATGAATCATGGACATGTGTAGCAACCAATGATGGAGGAGAGGAGAAAATGGCCTAAACTGATTGTGAGTGTTCAGTGGTGGCGACGTATGTGATGGGGGACATCTTGAGGAAGGCAATAGCATCCTCGTAAATGGTCTTGTTGGCAGGAATGTCCAACAAGGCAACGTGGTTGTTAACCTTGAAGGATATGTCTTCAATAGAGAAGTTCACATTGTTGGCAGCCATTGTCTGTTATAGTTTTAAGAAACAGGAAATAACAGTTGTTAGTAGTCCAAGATTTGAATGTGATCTTTTCAAGTTTTAGAATAAAACTTCTTTTGAAAAATCCATAAAGAAGATGTTAGGGTTTTTCAAGATGAATAGTGTTTTTGAAACATTAGATTATAACCAAGACCATTAAGGAACTTTCTATTGTTCTTCTTCTTTTTTGGTTTATAAATTTGCCTGGTTTCCTTTCAAAAAAAAAAGTCCAAATGGACCCAATACGGATCCTTCAGAATCATGCTAACTCAAGTATTGGGTTTACATTTTGAGGTTGGTTTTTCGTTCCTTCTTTGCTTTCCGAATTGGTTAGGGTTCACGATTTTATCTTCTTGGTCGTGTAGTGTATTGCTCACGGTTAGGGTTTCTTCTTGGCCGTAGTTTGCATGCTCGGGTTTGCCTTTTCTTCTTCTTGGCCGTGTAGTGTATTGCACACGGCTAGGGTTTCCTTATTGGTTTCATTCTTGGCCGTAGGTTTTGCTTGCTAGGGTTTGTGCCGTTTTCTTTTATCTTACTTGGTGTTACGTTATCTTTGTTCGATTTGGTGATAAGTTTGATTCTTTGTGGTGTTTCCTTATTTCCTCGTCGTGTTCTTCTGGGTAGTTTTTATCTAGTTTTCTTTTTTCCTGTGTCAAGTGTTTCTGTGGTCTTCGTTGCTTTTATTGAGTTACTTAATAGAATATTCAGCACCTCCTTGTGGGGTCTTCGTTTATTTTATTGAGAACGCTCTTTAAGGGTTTCAGCACCACGGCTTCTTGACTAGGGATAGGGGGAACTAGGTATTTTTCTGTGGTGTGGTGAAGATGATAGATTTTGCAGATGTGATTTTGGAAGATCCTTCTTCTAAGGATTTTACTGAGGTCATTCTTGGTGAATCGGTTTCTGGTGACTTGCATGGGACTCCTTTGCATGGGGGTATCAAGGAGGCGATGTTGGGTCCCACTAAAAGGGTATCGGTGTGGGAGCGCATTTCTCCTGCAGTTTTGGGTGGGAGTAGTATACACCATCAAAAGTCTTTTGCTGAAATAGTTGGCGGCACTTCCAAACAAGAACTGACGTATTATCCGGTTGAGAAGAATGTGAAACTGCGGATCCAATTTACTTTGGAAACCACGAGAGATATGGCTAAATCATTCTAGTCGGTTCTTTATGGATACTTTTTGGGACCTCGTCTTACTTTTCCAATTGTACTGCATGCGGTTCAAAACGCCTGGGGCAAGTTTGGGCTTATGGATGCAATGGTAAACGATCTTGGATACTTCTTTTTTCGGTTTAATGATAATGGTGGTTGCAATCAAGTGGTTGAGTCGTCTCCCCTTATGATTCGTGGGATACCTCTTTTTGTCTTAAGGACTGCTAAGACCCATTCTTCCTCAATTACTCGCATTAACGTCTGATTATACTAATTTTGAACCATTTAGTACCATTATGGCTCAATTAGACTCAATTATACTAAATAATCAGACGTTAATGTGAGTAATTGAGGAAGAATAGGTCTTAGCGGTCTTTAATGGGTCCAAATGGTGGCAGAGATATAATGGGCATAATTCTCGTTAAAAAGTCCAGTTGAGTGAAAATGACACCAACTAGGTCATAATCAGTCCCATTAGACCCTGATGGGTTTAATGGGCCCATTTCTTCGTAACTAGTCTAATTGGGTCAAAATGACACTAAATGGGTCATAGTCGGTGTAACTACATGTTAATATGACTAATTGATGTAGAATGGGTCTTAAGTGTCCTTAATAGGTCCATGTACACTTATTGGGATATTGGTTCCTATTTGGTATAATCGAGTCATTTGGGTCAAAATGATAATAAATGTATCATAATTAGTCTGATTAGACCCAATTAGGTTTAATAGGGCTCATTTATCCAAAAGGATTCTAATTGGCTCAAAATGACACTAATCGGATCATATTTAGTTTGATCCGACTTAATGGGTATGATGTGCTTAGTTCGTCATAATTAGTCTAATCGGACATTACTGAAAGGGGAATTTCCCCAGGCAATTTTATAAAGACGAATAAAAGCGAAACCTTACAATGAGTAAATCAGCAAGAAAAATTACGGCAACTTTGACTCACAAACCAAGCCATAAGAAGCCAAAAAAGACAAAGAGAAATGCATCAAAAAGTAAATTTAAAGCAAGCCAAAAAATAAAAGGAGCAAATCACCGCTATCTTCCAGAACCGAAAACCTTCATCATTCACTTGATCACGCATCATTGATTCTCATCAATTTCTTCCTTGTCTTCCACGCCATTCTTTGAAGAATCTGAATCTTGATCTCCGTCACAACTTTTTCGCCAACTTGATTGTAATTGTCAAAGAATTTTCTGTTCCTTTTCCTCCATATGTGGTATACCGTAGCCGATATACCAAGTTTTTGAACCGTAGACCATGATTTCCATCTTTGAGATAAACCCCTGTTAAGAATATCCTCCCATTTGTTCGGACAATTCTTTAACCCAACTTCCTTTTTAATAACCTCCCATATACTACTCAAGTAGTTGCAATCAAAAAATAAGTGATTGTGCGTTTTAATCACTAATTTACAGAAAACACATTTCAAATCTGGAGGTTCATGCTTCCACTGACTAATGTGATCTTGTGTTTGGTAATCTATTCTGACAAGCCATCCACATACAAAGAGCATGTTTAGGTATGTATGCTTTATTCCATACCACCTTGTACCAATGTACAATCGGCCCCACTTCTTCTAATGTTTTCCATGCCACTTTTACTTCAAATTGTTTTCGAGAATGTTTAGCATCAAGCCATCTGACCGTATCCTCAATTTGACTGGGAGGTGGTATCATAACACTTTGCAGCTGGGGATATTGTTGTATCCATTCCACCGGCCAAGTAGTGCCAAACCATTGCATTAGATCATATACCGTAGAGTTATTATGAAAGCCATGATCATTTATGAATCTGTAAGACAACAATTGAATAAGGGGACCAAACTCACTCCACGTGTCTTCCCAAGCGTGCGTAGATAAACCATTTCCCACATTGTAGATAAAAAACCATCTGCAATGAGGTCTTAACTCTAAAAGGTTCCGGAGAAGCCACGACCATTCATTCCTCTTCTTGATTATCCAAAACTTAAGGCCCCGAATAAAATGAGACTGAATGCAGGAGACCCACATGGTATTTCTTCAAGTAAGAATATCCCAAATATGTTTAAAAAGTAAACACTGATTCCAAATCGCTAGTCGTTTCATACCAAGACCACCATCTGTATAGGTAAGCAGACCCTATCCCAAGATACTCGACATTTTCCCAGTTCACCCTCTGCTTTATTCCATAAAAAATTACAGAACAGCTGTTCAATTTCATGGATAGTGGTTGCCGGTACTAGAAATACCGACATCCAATAGGTTTGCATAGAGTGAAGAACAGAGATGATGAGCTGTCGTCTTCCCYYATAAGAAAGAAATTTGTTTTTCCAGTTCAATAATCGAGATTTTAGTTTAAGCACAAGAGGGTTGAAATCACGTACCTTCAATCGAACTGGATAGAGAGGAACTCCAAGGTAGCGAATAGGAAAAACCCCTGGACGAAAAGGTAGGTAGTTGCGAATGATATTTTGAACATCCAACCCCACATTCCCGAAAAACACTTCACTTTTTTCAAGACTCGGTGACAAACCCGAACGTTCCTCAAACAATTGGAGAGCTCGTTTTATCACTTCAACTGAAGTAGCATCCCCCCGAGAAAATATAAACAGATCGTCCGCAAGACATAAATGGGTCAACTTGATCTCAGCACATCCTTGATGGTACGCAAAATTAACCTCCTCCTCAATACATTTTGTTAGAAGCATCGACAAACCTTCCATAACCACCGTGAACAAGTAAGGGGATAATGGATCCCCTTGTCTAAGACCCCGCTTACCATGAAAAAAACCCTCCGGCTGTCCATTAACACATATAGAGAAAGTAGGCGATGTGATTAGAGACTTTATCAAGTTAAGCATAACTGGATGAAATCCCATTCCCTTTAGCATCCCCAGAAGATACTGCCAGTCAACTGTATCATAGGCTTTCCGAATATCAATCTTAAAAGCACACTTTGGCTCCCCCTGAGGTTTTTGATAACCTGCTACAAGCTCATGCGCCATTAGAATATTATCAGTTATYTGTCGTCCAGGAATGAAWGCAGATTGAGCCTTGCTAATAAKAAAATCCAAAGAGCCTTTCATCCTATCAGCAATAATTTTACTGATACATTTCAGCAAAACATTACAGCAGGCGATGGGTCGAAAATCAGTAACACATGAAGCATTAGGGACTTTGGTACTAGGCAAAGTAGAGTATGATTCAACTGGTATTCTAAAGTTCCAGCGTAGAAGAAATTATGTACCGCAGTAAGAACATCCCTACCAACCACACTCCAAGCCGCTTTAAAGAACTTTGATGAGAACCCATCAGGACCAGGAGCCTTGTCATTCCCAATATCAAACAGCGCAGTCTGAATCTCCATATCCGTAATAGGTCGGATTAAATGCAGAGAGTCCGATAACGATAAAGAGCGAACAAAACAACAATCCACCATAGAAGGATGAACCAACCTATTAGAAATACCCAAAATACCTTCAAAATGATTAACAAAAGCTTTAGGAACCTCTTGATGTTCAAAAATCGTACCAACAGCATCTATTATAGCAGCAATATGGCTCCTATGACGTTTTTCTCTCATAGCATGAAAGAAGAACTTAGAGTTTCCATCGCCTTCATTAAGCCAAGAAATCTTTGCTTTTTGTCGAACCATTTCCATTTTATCATTTCTAGCTTTTTGATATGCTAACAAGAGGTGAGCAATGACCTCTTTCAGCAAATCATTAAAAGAGTCTAGATCACAAGCCAATTGAGCAACTTCAAGCTCCGTCTTTAAACTATCCACCCTCTTATCCAAACATCTAAAAGAATTACGAAGCCGACGACAAACCCCTTTCAACTCTTGCATTTTTCTAAGCACTCTCTTCATATATGAACCTCGCTGAGGTTGCATCCACACCCCCTCCACAGATTTAATAAAATCCACATGAGACGTCACAATATTATCAAATTTGAAACCACGTTGACGAAGTCGCCTACCAACTTTGAAGGAAAGAATTCCCGGAGAATGATCTGAGATCCCCCATGGTTCAAAGAAAACCGAGGCATCCCCAAATCTAGTAATGAATGCTGAATTTCACAAAATACGGTCTAATTTACGCATTATACCGTCACCCCCAGAAGATTTCTGCGTCCATGTATATTGGCACCCCTGATACGAGATATCAAAAAGCTCTACCTCTTCCAGACAAAGATGAAATTCCTCCATATCTGAGTTACGTCTAGAGGAACCACCCAATCCATCATGAGGAAAAAGCATTGAGTTGAAATCACCCATCGCAACCCATGCTTTTCTTTGAACAAAAACATTGAATTTACCAATATCCCGCCAGAGGTCCCTCCTTTCCACTCCCGTACTACACCCATAAACAAAAGTAATAAAAATGGGCTCTGGATGACCCATAATCCGAATTTCACAATAAACATATTGTAAGTGTTGCTCAATCATAATCAAGGACAAAACAGATGGGTCCCAAGCAATAATAAGACGAGTTCAAAATGACACTAATCGGATCATATTTAGTTTGATCAGACTTAATGGGTATGATGTGCTTAGTTCATCATAATTAGTCTAATCGGACATTAAATTGGAGTGATTGAGGGTCCATTTGGTGTTAGTGGATATAGTTGGCCTTTTTTTCCTTAAGAAGTCCAATTGGGTCAACACGACTCAAACTACGTTATAATTAGTCTTTTTAGACCCAAATGGGTTTAATGGAGCCGGTTATCCATAACCAGTGTAATTGGTCAAAATGACACTAAATGGGCCATATTTAGTTTGTTCAGACCTTAATGGTTATTGTGGGCAAATTTCTTCTATTGAGTCTAATTCATCCATAATGGTACTAGATGGTTCAAAATTAGAATAATCAGACGTTAATGTGAGTAATTGAGGAAGAGTGGGTCTTAGCGGTCTTTAATTTTAAAGAACTATCGGGTCCGTTTGGTTTGATTTGGTTTATAGCCATCTTGTTATTCCGTTCATATGGATGGAGCAATATTTAAGCTTTAACGGTCAAATCCCTTTTATTCATTTTAACAGTTCTTATTAAGCTGTATTGATACTTGTTTCTGGAAATACAATTACTCATTTGTGTTGGTTGAAATAACTCAACCACTCAAGCACTAAAGGTCATGGATGGCCACCTTCCTTGTTTTTGTACCTAATTAAGACGGTTTTTGACTTCTCCCGACCAACATTTATCAKGTTGMATTATTTTGATATCTTTGAGGGTCCTAATTAGATTTTATTAGATAATATAATTGAGAAATGATGAGAAAGCCACMTGTGTTTCCTTGATAGTGTATATGGCCAACACAGTCTTCTTTTCTTCAGCTGTAAGCACTTGGAGTTTAGGAACTAAAAAAATTCACCAACAATTTTGCCTCCTGTAATTGAAAACCATAGTTAGTAACATCAGATTCATAAACCATAGCATCAAATCTGTCCAAACCCAATGTTCAACAGGTTTGATTTTGGACAAATTKGATAGTGGAAGGGAAAACAGTGACAAAGGATATCTATGAATTTCTTGCTTCTTCCCAGATTTCTCACTATAACAAGATATTTCATGAGCATGATCATGTTGGTCGGGGTTCTTTCAGTAATACAGATGTTGACAAGCTCTTTCTCTTGCATATCTTCTACAATACAAATACTAATTTAGGTCTTTCTCTTGCATATCTTACTACATCCACTTTTTATTTTTCTCAAATCATATCATCATTCTTTTCCTAAGACTGTTAGTGAGACGAACATATGGTTATGGATTCAAACTAGAATAGATTCAATGGATATGTGAACCAACTACCGTTCATCTGCAACTATACAATAGGTGTGTCCGATTTATTGGATAGTTAAATTGAATTAGCATACCAGTCAGAAAATCARAACAGATTCAACAAACTAAATATTAACTGAAAAGAGCAATATCAAATATTAACTATACAGATTACRATCCAAAAAGCTCCTAATTATTGTTGCAACTAACAAGATCTAAACAACCTAAACAAAAAAATGTAAACAAAATAAACGTCTTTGAGGCATTTCCTCAAACACCTTTTAAGCACAAAAGACAAAAGGAGGAAACAGAAGTGAAGAGTAATCAACACACGGAAGGAAGAAAAAAAACAGAAAGAGGAAACAAAAATAAATCACCTGGATCAAAAGGAGAGTGAATCAACACACAGTAGTGATYGATGGAGATGAGCGATGGAAGGAGAGTAAATCAACACATAGTAGTGAATCTATATTGAAGAACAACATCATGGAGGAAGGAGTTATATGTATAGATGAGGTTGTGATACATAAAATCGATTTGATGCATCAAATCAGTTTTGAAGACTGTTTGAGAAGAAATTTGTTCGAGCTGATCTAGATGATACATCAAAAACCACCATTGTTAACTTGTTCGAGGTCTGTAAAAAAGAAAGCTAACTCTATCTAATCTAGATTTATTTTGGCGCTTGAGATCAGATACATAGAAAAGAGATTTTAGAAGTCTGTAAGAAGAAAACACGCTCTGAAACATTCCCATTAGGATTCGGTGTTGTGGAAATCCTTGCATAAAGAACTTGTATATTGTGCAAAATAGTTTGTAATTAAGAGATTTTTGAATTCTTGTACAAAATGATAGTAATATATGCTTTAAGACTTGTACTTATGACTTTTGTTTAATTGACTATTAATGTGGTAAAGATATAATATATATATATATATATATATATATATTTTGGATCTATAGTATATATGTATGTAGTGGATGTATGTATGCATGTAGTATATATCTATGTATGTAGTGGAAAATTGTTAATTAGGTTAGAATTTTCATTAAATATTTTTATAGTAATATTGTATGTAATTGATTGGGAAAAACATCAAAAAAAACTGTGATAACGGGAGGAAAAAATACAAATGTACTTCTTTTAACATATTTTTTCTATATTATGAAAAAATATATATATATTAAAAAGTTAAAAACAAATTAAAACTAAATATTTTTTATTTCTTTAATTTTTATGTCTTGAAAAAATAAAATTAAAAATAAAAATCCAATCACTAATTACCAACACATTACTAAAAAGTTATTTAATTTTTCTTTTTATTTCTTTATTTTTTGTGTTTTGGAAAGAATTAAATAATCCAACNTAAAAACAAATTAAAACTAAATATTTTTTATTTCTTTAATTTTTATGTCTTGAAAAAATAAAATTAAAAATAAAAATCCAATCACTAATTACCAAGAGATTACTAAAAAGTTATTTATTTTTTCTTTTTATTTCTTTATTTTTTGTGTTTTGGAAAGAATAAAATAATCCAACGGTTGTTATCAATTTATTTTTTTAGTTTTAGTTTCTCTAATTTTTGTGTTTTGAAAATAATCAAATAGTTTGTTGATGTCCATTGGAAACCCATCGATAATTATCTACGAGTTTTAAATCCGACGGTAGTAACAGATGGATCACTGACGGATAATTAAATTTTAATTATTTAATTGAATCTATCAGTAATTACTGACGTATTTTAGCCGCGGGTAATATCCGTTGTTGATATTCAGTTCTTTAGTAACTAGTTGTTTACCCGCGCAATGCGGCGGGATGTAATTTTTTCTTTCTATAAATCAAGAATAAAATAGTATTTTGATAAACATGTAAAAAGTAATGGCCATCAAAATTATTTTTGAAGAAAAAATAAAATTACATAATCGTTACAACTTTAATCATTTATCTCAGTATCGTTTTAGAACGTTACATTCATCATTTTGGAAACATAACATACCAAGAGCCAAAGAGGTTTTACACATGTTCAGTTCTTGGCACTCTGCTTGACTCGGATAGCCATCCGCATAGCTCATGAGCTTTGTCAATTTGAATTGCATTTGTAAAGTTTGAGCTTTCATCAAATAGGATTTTCAAATAGCTCATTTGCGTCTTTTTTGGGCTTATAAGAAAAAGGATCACGAAACTACCAAAGACAAGCAAAGAAAGTGACAAGAAATAGTGGTGTTATAATGGTTAGCGGTCTTAGGAGAAATAGTGGTGCTATAAATAAACATTATAATTTATTTTTATCGGATGAGATTGTAGTACATCAAAACGGTATCCTATGCAACAATTTACCCGGTAAGCGCTTACTCGGGTAAGAGTCGTCATCCTCATTTACCGGGTAAGACTCTACCGTAATCATCTTTCTTACCGGGTAAGATTCTTGGCCCTTGTTATGTTTATCCGGTGAGGAAAATTGTCCGGTAAGCACTTACCGGGTAAGCATTTAGTAAACAGCCCCTTAGACTTCCCCTATTTAACCCAAATATCAAACTCTAGCATGTAAGGTTAATTTTGGGTAAAAATTAAGGGGACATTTGATAAACGCTTACTTGGTAAGCGCTTACTAAGTCAAATTACCTTACTAAATGAACATAACAAAGATTGAGAATCTTAGCCAATAAGTGAGGGTGACAAATCTCACTTGGTTAGCACTTATCAGGGGGTAAATTATTGCATAACATGTCGTTTTGAATCTTACCCCATAATGTAAAAGATAGTGTTGAATCTTACTGTAGGCGTTTACCGAGTAAGTGTTTGGGTAAACAACCCCTCATATTTACATGTTCTTCAGTGTCTTCTAAGTAAAACGACAGTAATGAAAGTATCAAAGGCTATGTGATGTGCAACAACATTAAATAGGCAAATATAATTGTTTTTGAGAAAGAACATGAAACAAAGTATACATATAAGAGAATAAAGGTTTTTTATTTAGCTCAATAGACAATTAGGAACATTTTTTACTAAACAGACTGTAAACCTTTTCAAAGTATTAAAGTTCAGTTAGAGGACATGGCCAACTTAGTTATCAGATCACCTAGAAAGATGCAAAGAAGCAGTTCAAACACAACAAATAAAGACAAGCCTACAATTGCATGATATAGTATCCACTACATAAAAAGGATAGAGAGGGAGAGAGAGAGTTGCATGATTCTTGTTAAATCGGAGGGAGAAGATATATATATATATATATATATATATATATATATAGGAGCGTTCAAATAAAAACTTGCTCCATTTGTGTAAACCGTGTAAACCAATCTCATCC